AGAGTTCCACAGCAGAATTTATATGTTATGTACCGCCTCTGTCTGCTGCACCACCCCTCACCTGAATCCTGCTGAGAATGTGTTGCTGTTGCGTGTCTGAGCAAAGAATCTCCCGCTACACTGTGCATGTGAGAAAGGTAAACCCAACCCAATTGTATGGACTTCCTCCGCAGGTCATGTTTGAAAACGGCTACAGAAACAGAGAAGTCTCAGAGAGCACTGAGCAGACTCTGACTCGTCATCAACATGTGCTCATCTATGCAGACAGCTGCACAGAAATCCGATAACAAGTGTGCAAACCATTTTAACCAGGATGTACGTCTAAAAACGATTGTCGAGGAGGAAAGTCAGACTTAATCATATAACAGGACTGTGAGGTGGCTCTTTAAATGAAAAATAATGATTTAATGTTTAAGATTTCTAGAAAGGCCAATTTGTGGCACAGTGCATCTGTGCGTGCTCGACTAAATCTGTCAATAATATGAAGGGTTTTTGAATTCATTTTTCAAAGCTTGACAACGGGCAGTAAATGACTCTGTTGTCAATACTGCTTCAACAAAACTGAACCTGATTCACTTCAGAAGTGTAGTTCTTACTGCAGGGATGTTGCACTGGGTTGCATTGACTGATACTGTTATTCATCAGATTTTATCCATCTCTCATACAGTATGTTGCAGAGTTAATCATCACTCTAATCACTCAATAGTTACATGCATGTAATTGTACTTTTTAAAATCTCTAAACCAAATCATAGAACTAAGTTCAAAGCCGAGAAGTGAAGCAGACACTGCGCTACATTCCAAATTTATATTGCATGAAGAAATCTTGTCTGACCTTTTACCAGCACATGTGCCATATGAGATCAACTTAAAGCCTAAAATCTGATCGGATGTAAGAGTGATTTTCAGTCAATGTCTGAGACCTATATGTCTCTCAGCTCCTCCTGCTGTGGCTTTAATGAGGACAAGTGATCCCGAAAAAATGTGAGGGCAGACTTCGCTTGCTGCGCACTGCCCCGTCTGAACCAGCCTCTTTGTCCACGCGATAAACGTGGCCTCAGACTGCTCATTCCAGCCCTCACACTGGCCTCTGCTAGACAAAAGGGACAGCGAGGCGCCGTGCCAAATTGACTTGTCCCTAATTTTTATGCTAATCCTCTATTTTACATCAGGCAGTCCCCACATTTGATATAAAACATAATAAATAAATAAATCAGTAGAGTCCTAGATAATCTTTTCATAAAGACGTCTTATCCTTTGACAAGTAGAGATGTCTGCAGATGGCTTTACATATTTGCATGTTCAAAATGCTGACGGCAAGCAATCATCACTGTCATTGTCTAATGTTTAATGAAGACTCGTGCTGTATCAGAATATTTTATCGCTCAAATTTCACCAGATGATGCTGCATCTTACAGAAAATTACATTCAAAGAAAAAGGTTATGTTAAAACCCTGACAACAGCTTTACAGCTTTATTTAATACAGTTTTTCTCCACGTTTCCCAAAATCAATCAAAGAGCATAATAACTGTCTGTTTTTATTGTGGCCTTGAAGGTCATAAGATACTAACAATCTTGCCCTGATGTTCCTGAATTCATAAAAGTTTTAACATTTAAAGTACAAAACACTGATTATATCACCTGCAACTGCAGTATTCCCCTACCCTTTTTATAACGTTTCAATAATCCTCTTAATACCCTCACAATGATTAATTGTGGAAACTAAGACAGTGTCAATGAGACTGGATTAAACGTTATGTAGCAAAATGACATTTTGGAATTATAAGGATTTAATGAGGCCACACATCATCAACTGGGAGCAAAATGTAGTTGTTTTTTTAATTTGCAATTAATCCGTGGACAAGGTTCAGGATGAAGGTCAATAAAAAGAGATCAAGAGTTCATTTATTTCTGTAGGTGGGATGGTAAAATATTGTATTAAATACTGTCTGAGCCAATCAAAACAATTCAATAGGGTTGGAAAAATTGACATTTTCTTTATGGGATGGGCAAAAAGTATTTGTTTCCAAAATCATTACAAGCAGAGTTTAAAGTTAAAGGCAACAGTGGAACCTCCCTTCCAAACATGAAAAATAAACTGTGGTAACTTCAGTTGTCATAAAAACTCAAAAGGTGTTTAGTTTGTTCAGTCTGGACTAATGTAAAAAACATGGCGGCCTCCGTAGAGAGGGTCCCCTCCATGTAAATATGATTTATTTAAATATAAAGGGTCTTTTCTGGGGTAAACAAAACTACAATTCATACAATTTAGATGAAACTAACTAATAGTAACATCATGAGGATAATTCTACATTTCTACCAATAGTTCCCTTTAACCTAAATCTTACACACTGGACCTTTAAAAACTTTGATTTTCATTAAATCAAAATCTGGTTTGTATAATATTTAAGGTCAGCATATTTTCAATAATAGCCAACGAGTTTACGGTAAAGTCTTCCGACGCTGCGGTTTTCTCTGTTGGTGGTCAAGTCTGTCTTTCCTGCCTTGAGTTTGAATTGCCTGCCAATGACGACCTGTTTGTTTAGCTGCAGTATACACACACACTCAAAAACTAGTTGCTATTCTGCAGTGTTCCGTCAAAGTTTATACTGCCTATACAATTCTGGGACTTGTAGTATTAAAGCCAGCTGCAACCAGAAACTGTGGGTGTCACAACAAGAACTGAAATCTCCTGGATTATAACCAGAGTTCAACATATTGGTCAACCAATAAAATATTGCATTGGGTATATGCATTGATATGAAGCTGATAAATTGACACTGGAATTCTTAACTCCCTAAAATTGGTATAGGAACCAAATTCCAGTAAAGCTTGGCTTCTACTAAAGACCCACTATATACATGTTTTAAGGTATTTCTGTTCTTAATGTTTTTTTTAAAGTCTGCTTTTCTCAATCACCTGTTCGAGAAAAAAAATCATCAAAACACGTTCACCTTCTCCCTCATTGAAAAACCCTTTTAGTGAAAATAGCTTCCAGCTCTCCGCATACAAGTTCAAACTTCCAACAAGTAGAGATACATAAGAAAAACATATTTCTGAATGGAAGGGGACTTTAAAGCCAAAATTCATTGTTTGATAAAACATATTTTAGTCCAAAAAATAAGTCAGAACATCTGGAGTACCAGACAGGTCCACAACCCCCCACAGACAGTCTTATCTTCAGCCTGACACCGTGCTCACTGCTTCCTGAATTTCAGAATCATTTCCGTTTTGTTAATCTAGGGCTCTCAGGGGGGTCTGAGGGTTAGAGAATATTTACATCACAACATATCTACCAGATGGGGAGGCGGGTTGACATACACTATGTGTATAATATTCTCTGTGTTTCATAATCTACCCTTGTAACACCTCCCTCACTGAAGACTTCCGATAATGTGAGTACAGTCATAATAATAATTAGCATATTTTTAAAAAGGCAAAAAAAGGAAAAGAATGATGAAAACATTATTTACAACTCATTGTGTACAGTTGTGGTTATGATATGGAACAGTCACTTGGATCATACCTAAAATATGAGCATCAATGCTTTTAAAATGTCTGTGAGTAACAATGAATAAGTGTCTTTGCAGTGTCTTCACTTCACAGCTCCCAGTACTAGTTTTTTCTTGCCAGTGACTCAAAATCACTTCCTGTGTTCTTTACATCATATTTATTATGAAAACAGAAAGTTGTTTCTTATGTCTAAATATACATTTTAATCAGTCATCCTATCAAAATTTTTCTATGGGTCAACTTACATAAGTTCTTCTTTACTTCTTAATTTAGTTTTTTTTGAAGTATTGATACCTGTCTGATGTAAAACAGAGTTGTGCTCTGTAGCGTACAGCTTCTGTGTTTCCCCAATGTCAGTCATTTACATTAAAGGTCCAGTGTGTAAGATTTAGGTGAAAGGGATCTATTGGCAGAAATTTAATGTAGAATAAATCTCATGATGTTTTCACTGGTTCATTTCATCTAAATTTCATGAATTGTAGTTTTCTTTACCCCAGAAATGGCATTTTATATTTAAATACTTTATATTTACATGGAGGGGACCCTCTCTACGGAGGCCGCCATGTTTTTTACATTAGTCCAGACTGGACAAACTAAACACCTTTTGAGTTTTTATGACAACTGAAGCTGCCACAGGTTCTTTTTCATGTTTGGAAGGAGAAGGTGAGGTGAGGGGTGTTCAACTGCAACATGAAATTTCAACACTAAATATCACAAAATTCTACACACTGTACCTTTAAACTGTAATTAATTCATTACATTATTTAAATCATTTTTAGGTCAAATGTAAATCTACATGAAAGAGGCTGAAAAAGGAAACACAACCCCAGTGCAGTGGAACAAACACTAAAACCTAAAAAACAGCTTACAAGACACCTACCACAGCAGCTTCCTGAAGTCACACATGACTGCTCACCTCTGTACTTACACTCCATGAAAGAAAACAAGCACCGATCAACATCTAGAAATGAGAGAACTCAAGGGCTCTTCACCTGAATATTTATGGATGGTAATTAAGATTTCACAAAAGATACAAAAAATTTGTCTGGGAATACAAAAAGCACAAATGGCTCTTTGTCTTTTTCAACTCTTAACTTCTAACTCATATTTATCAATGAGTGTTTAAGAACAGAAAACATATTCTATACCAACAGAAACCAATAATAAATAGATCCCCAAACCACCTGGCAAAGAACAAGTAAACAAGCAGTTATGTTGCTTCACAAATAGAGCCACTTTGGATTTTGTGCTCATTTGAAATCAGCCAAATGAAGACAGTGACCACCAACAGTCGGTAAAAACCCAAAAAAGTGGAATATTAAAAATGCACCACTAAATTTTGGAACTATTCAAACTAAACCAATATGGACTCTTAGACACACCGGTTGGAATCTGACAGTCAAACCACAATTTTATATTAAGTTTAAGTTGAGTTAAATGTTTCACTTATTAGTTTAAATGTTTACTGCTGACTTCTGTGACTTTACCTGCGGGGTCAGGCTGGCTGGGCTCTCCCATCTGTTTGTAAGGGTTGAACTTGGGCTTGGGTGCAACCATCGGGGCAAATTTCTTGGGTGCCTGCTGCTGGGAGATGGAGATGCTCGCACTACCCAAAGACGGTGTGGTCTCCATCCTGGCAGCCACTTGTCCTGTCTGGTCGTTACTGTTCGCTGGGTTCCACATGGTTCTGTAGAGGGAAGAAAACGTTACACAAAACTGAATATGAATTTAATCTTGGTCAACATAAGTAATGGAAACTCTCTTAGACTATAAGAGCCAAGCCTAAAGTAAAGAAACAGTATGGATTACAATAACATGGAGCAGTGTCATAATGTCATTGTAAATACTGCCTCAAACGGGTTAAACATTAAAAACACATACTTTCTCCAAGGAGGTTTCATTTTCACCACTGTCAGTTTTTTTCTTTTTTTGTTCATTAACGGTTTGTCTGTTAGCAAAATTAAACAAGAGCTACAGAATTAATTTCCATGAAACTCGATGGAAGAATGCAATATGAGTCAGGAAAGACCCAAATAAAACACGTTGGAAATTTTTTTAACATTACGAGATGGGATTATTTCTACATTTTCAGTATTTCCATTTTCAGAATCATTCATGGGTCTTGGTGAAGAAAAAAAACAATGAATCAACCTTTAGGGGACTGGTATCCATGAGTGTTTGGTGCAGTTTGACTACAGGGGACTGTTGGCATTCTACTATGTGTCATTCTAGGTTTTAAATATGAAAGGACGGCAAACTGAAATCAACGGAGGGTATAAAGAATCTATTTCTCCAGCAGTGATTTCACCTGGGAGACAAGAGGCCAGAGAAGTCAAAAAGCCTCTGCTGAGAACAACCTCTGAAATCCTGGGGCAGATTAGAAGGAACATCCAAATTACCACAAATTATTACTTTGATTATAATAATACACTCATATGATTTTCCAAAATATCATAACTGGCCAATATAATGACAGAAACAGGAAGTGACAAGGTAGGAGGCTAAGTGTGTGGGCTGTGTTTTATCTACAGAATGTGAGTGTGTGTGTAATACAGTCACTTCTTCTGTGCGTGACTACGAGGGTGACTGCTACAGGAAAAATGTGTGAGAATCAACTCCACTTTTTTCTACTGAGTGATACTATTAAAGCAGCTGTTAGAATTATTTTGTAAATGAAAAACAAGGTGATAAACACTGTGTTCTGACACGTGTTAATGTGTGCAATTTAAAGTTAGTTGTAACTTTGTCTGAGCCCTTTCGTTTCCTTTGCTTACATCCTTGGTTGCAATGCTTACACTACAACAACAAATCAAAAACACGAACAAAAACAAGACGTGAGACAAAAAGAAAACAGAATTTCGTAGCAGAAAAAGTATTGAAAAATGTTGTAACGCTGATGTAACCATGAATGATTTGCAAGTGTTGATGTAGCTGTCCAAACTGAGATCAGATCAGAGTTCAGGAATGACAGAACATTGATCTGCATGCCATGTAGGAAGATAAAGATATAATACATTATTTTCAAACTATCTGTATGTGCAGTTACTCTATTCTTCTTTTGATGGGGACACTGGATTTTATAAGATGTATATATATGAGTTTTACATTGAGATGAAGGTCTAACTGATAGCTAATCAATATAATAACTAACCTTTACTTTATATGTCAACTTGTGTGTCCTTCATACAGTTACGGTGAAGAAAACACTGCTCAGAGTAAGTTACCGTAGCTGAGGACACAAACATCCAGTATTTCACCATCTCATTCTGAAATCACTTGAAATATCTGAACTATTTATACCCCGCGCTCCCCATCCTTTTTTTTGTTTGTTTGTTGTGCTGCGTTCTGATGTTATGCTGTTTATTATCCTCACTCCGACTGATACAGGGTTTACATTCTTTCACCGAAGCACAGCAGAAAAGCCCACGCACAATCATCTTTTAATATCTGCTCAAATCCCAGCCCCTCCTGCCATCTGAATGGTTCTCACTTTTGATATTTTTCCATCTGCTCTTAATGCTGCGATTCAGACGCCACGCTGGTGTCTCACACCCACCTGTCCTTTCAGTGTGAACGCTTTCATTTCCCAACACTCAAATGGCTAACAAAATCAAAGATGACTCGGAGAGAAGAAGAAATGATCTTAGCATGAGTGAGTAGGACTCAATACATGACGTGCTGAGTGAAAAATGGCTGTTTCAGTTTGTGATTTGATTTTTTGATGATGTAAGATAATTCACAGTAGGATGTCAGTCTATATAAACACTGCCCTACTGTGCCCATTAAACCCACTAAAATGTTACCTGTTATTTCAAAGAACCTTACTCAGACCGCAGTATATAATTATTGCAGTGATTGATAGAAACTGTATAAAACCTGGTTGGCGCTGTGTCTTGTGGTTTGTAAAGAGTAACAAGGACACGGTTTGTGAAAAGAAATGTTCCTGTCGAGTTTTTAAATGTAACATCTGACTGCCACAATCGTCTGCATTGTGCTGAGCTGGAGGCAGAAATCTCAATCGTGTGTATCTCCAAACGTCGGTAACTAAAAGCGTGTGTCGTGAGATCACACAGGGGCTAAATAGGAATAGGCCTGATGCTTCAAAAGATGAAGAAAAAACTCCCAAGGTAAGTCCTCAATCAATCAAATAAACTTTATTTATATAGCAGCTTTCATGGAGGTATGTGCAGTTCAAAGTGCTTCACATATGATAATATGATAAGACAGCAAATAACGAGAAACAAATAAAATAAACAAATAAAATAATTAAGAACAATTAAAAACAATCTTAGACTAATGTTACTCAGTCTTCATGAAAAAGCTGGGCACTGTAGTTTTTAGCAAATGTGACTCCACCAAAAGAAAATAGAGCATTTGTTGAGTTAATTTCAGCAGCAGAATAATACAAGTTTCATTGTCTGATGAATATTAGGTCAGTGAATTAAGTCAAAATTAACTGTGAAGATGTGACCGTATTCATTATGATGACATCAGACAGTGTGTCTGTGGATTGTGGTGTGTTTTTACTTTTATTGAATACTTCATGTATTGGACAATAATGGACGAATGGAGACACAGAAAAACAAGATATATCAGGCTTTAAGTGAAGAGATAATAAATCTAAGTTGGACTGATTCTCTGCTGGTTTTGTCTATTCATGATTGTTGTTGACAAATATCAAAATACAGAACATCAGGAGACAGCTGAGGGACTGAAAGAGAAAAGACAGACGGGAAGAGCAGTGGAGGACATGACCAGTGACTGAATACAACAGCGTCTCCATTTCTCTCCCAGGGCGAGAAGTCATATACCGTCAACTATCAGATAAGATATATACTGTATATCAACAGGATATGTCAATGGATGTTGACAGTATGTCAAATCACAAAATGGCATCATCATTTGACATCACAGGACATCTGCCAAAATCAAGAATCCAGTGTGGTCTGATTTCCAGGCCGACGGGAAGCTTCAGAGGATTTTTATCTACGACTCTAATGTTCAACTTCCACAGAGGAACTGAGAAGGCAGGCCACATCAGCAGGTGTTTGTGTCATCTTTTTTGTGTTCAGCATATTAATTAGTTGACTGTGATCAATATGGCTCAATGAGTCATGAGGCAGTTTCACAGCAGAAGCGACCAGGCGATGTTTTCTTAACGCTCTAAAAGGCTCAATACAGCTCTATCTCAGCTCTACGGCACACGTCATTTCAGCATTTCATATTTTTATAACTTTTTTCGGAGACGGGCTGAGAAACAGATTACAAAAAAGAAAAACACAAAACAGAAATGCAACAGTTTTTTCTCTGTGGAAAATTGGAAAAGCAAAATGTGTTTTATTAAGTTCTTCTTAATAAATTAAGTTTAATGACAGTGTTATAGGACTGAGTGTTCTTGGACAAATTTGCATTGAAAGCGGAAGCAAAAAGGCCACAATTTCTCCAGCAGCACATCACTTTTAAAACCATGTAAGGACACTGCAGTGCATCAAGATACCACCTCTGCCAAGAATGTAATTTTGAATAGATGCATTTTAAGGTTATATTGCAAAAAAAGAAAAGTGTATTTTTTCATTCCAATATGGTCTAACTACAGTTCCAAGTATATTCTGTATTATGTTTGAATTATGCAATTCACTTTAAAACATCCATTCAGCCTTGACTGAAGATGTGCATGTAGTATTTGTAAAGTATATTGATCAGTATTATATGAACACTGTTTTCTCATTTCATTATATTTTTGTAGTAGCTCTTGTAATTAACAAAGAGCCATTTAGTGTGATTCAGATCAAATGATTTTTAGCAACACTTCTCAAGGAACTTTACTATACAAGGGTGGGAAACCCTTTTCCTGCAAATTCAACAACACCTTTGTAATGTGATGGCTCGAACAGCCTTTCTTTGGTGATGAAATGAAATTGATTACGGTGCTACTAACAGCTGGTTTTTCACCAAACATTCTGCTCAAACAAATCCTCACCTTTGTTAGTCTCATGTCTGACTTGTGAAGATAGAAATTCCTGTCTAGTATCAAAATCAGCAGTGATCCCACACATAAAAATGAAGAGATTTTTTATTTGTTATTTCTGTTGTTCCATCGAAGACCAGAGAGAAAGTCTGGACATGTCTTTGTGTGTCCTTCCAGGCCTGTTTCAATTTCTTGTGCCAAATCAACAATCTCTCGGCAATTGTTCATCAAGACAGTTCTAGCAGCTCTGCAGCAGCAACAATGGTCAGAAATTCTCCTTTAGAAAGCGCTTTCAGCTTCTTAGCTATTAGCACAAAGCTTGCCTGCATAGCACTGTCTCTCTCAGATTGTGGTCTTGTAAAAGCTGCTTGTTACTAGGCAATCAAACTTTGCCAAAAAGTCAAGAAATTCATGTTTTCAGCTGTGATGATGTGTGAGATTGGTCTTTGTCAACACTGGCTTGACTTTTACTTCTTATTTTACCAAAAATTATTGTCCATTTTCTCTTGGAAAGTACAACATCCCAAATCTACAGGGAGATCACATGAGTCATGTGCACAACTTCCCGTTTCATCCTGTATGTCTCCAGACTGTGCTGGGAGGACACCAGAGGAAACCACCACACACACAATGCACATACCATATGCACAAGAACTTTGTTCTTAACATATTCCGATTAACAGATGTGGACCAAATGTAATAAGCAGATCAGAGGTCGA